GGGGGGGGGGGGGGGGGGGGGGGGGGGGGGGGGGGGGGGGGGGGGGGGGGGGGGGGGGGGGGGGGGGGGGGGGGGGGGGGGGGGGAGGAAGAAAAAAAAGAGGGGGGGGGGGGGGGGGGGGGGGGGGGGGTTTTTTAAAAAAAAGGGGGGACGGGGGGGGCGGGGCGGCGGGGGGGGTAAAATTTTTTTTAAAAAAAAAAAAAAAAAAAAAAAAGGGGGTTTCCCCCGAGGGGGGGGGGGGTTTTTTTCCCCCCCCCCCCATTTTTTTGGAGGGGGAAAAAAAAAAAAAAAAAAAAAAAAAAAAAAAAAAAAAAAAAAAAAAAGAGGGGGGGGGGAAGGTTTAAAAAAAAAAAGGGGGAGGGGGGGGGGGGGGGGGGGAGGGAAAAAAAAAAAAAAAAAAAAAAAAAAAAATTAAAATTAAAAAAAAAAAGGGGGGGGGGGGGGGGAAAAAAAAAGGGGGGGGGGGGGGGGGGGGGGGCCCCGGGGGCGCGGGGGGGGGGGGAAAAAAAAAAAAAGGGGGGGGAAAAAAAAAGGTGTTACACCAAACTTTTTAAAGTTGTTTTAATTTTATTTTTATTAATATTAATAATTTTTATTATATTTAGATTAAGAAAACTGTAAATACTATATTTGATTGTTATGATTACTAATAAACTTTATTTACTTCAATTAGGCCTGGTAGTTTAAGCATATTGAAATATTCTAACTATAATATCAAAACTCATAGTTAAAACTAAGTGTTTATTAATTTTTCAAACTACATTAAAACTACGCAAGCTTTTAATGACTCTATTACAGTAACATAATAAAAATCAACAGTGCAATATAATTTCCCAAGCGGTAACCCATCATGCTTGCAACATCCGATTACGAAACATACGTTGAACGAATGTATTAACAGAATTTGGTTCAGTTACTTTTTTCCGTAATTTAGTGACGGAACGCAACCTATGACAATAATGTATTGGATTTTGACATATGGATTCGCTTTGTATAGTTTTTTAAAGCCTTTTTTTATTTCCTTATGCTTAATTTCCATTTTAAATGTTGTTTGTTATAGCTAAACGTTAGTAGTAAAATGTAAGTCGCCTGTGGATATGGATCCCACTTGGGTATAGGCCTTCTCCAACCCTTTCCAGGTGACTATCTTTGCCAATAGTGTGCCAGTATTTTCCTGCTATTTCTATTATCCCACCTTCTTTTTGGCTTGCCCACTCTTTTCCCGGATGGTCCCTTCCATTATTTTGTCTTTAATGTTTTATCCATGAGACTTTTAAGTCACTTTTTGCAGCGCACCAATACCAAGTGGAACTAGCTGCGCATTGAAGTTTCCGAACAAATTCTTCTTCTTTCTTACTTAATCCTTTACGTAAAGAGCGTACCATTTCGCAAAAGGTTCAACGCAATTAAGTGCCCTCTTTTCCTGCCTGCTATGTTCTGTTATGTTTTTTTGCTTATGAAGCCAAAAACCAACATCCGACGGAAATGGAAATCGGATCTGTTAAGCACAGAAGCGCAATAAAGATTGACCGATACGGATCCAAAATTACTTTGTGTCGGTAATTTATATCAGCAAAAGCAATCTTATAATAGAAAGTAAGCCTTATAAAAACGAAGACCGTCAAATTGCACGTAGCACCCGTGTTTCGCCTTAATATGATTGTACTATCTTTTTAATAGCTATATACCAACATATGGAACATTTTTCGGAAGAATTCCACAGTTATGCTGTCGAGTTAGTCAGCCAGTTCAAATGTAATTATTACGTGTAACCCGCAAAGATCTAAGAATTTGTAATCGTTTCATTTGTTCGTGGTCTTGACAATTTGTGGTTTGAATGAGTCAGTGTCAAGGTGTTAGTCTTAAGCAATTAACATAACAGAATTGATATTTTTGTGCTATTTTTTTTAGATAACTTTTTTCCTATAATGGTCCGAATAAGCTTATTCTAATTATTATTGGTTAATTGACAAGGAATGTGTTGAGTTCTATTACTTTTATCTTATCGTACAGACGCAATTTTAATTAACAAATATGAAATTTTATTTTTCATATAATATCTATACACATCGAGAAATGATGATAGTATTTATACTTTTATATAGCCTAGGTTTACACCACAGGCCCTTCATTATTATAATTTCTATTAAACTGTGGAAGATTTAAAAAATATAGAGCGTTACCACTTCTGTTTCTGGACAAAGCAACGAGTAGGCTTGATTCTGTCTAAATTTTAAATTAAGAATTTTTTCAAACAGTTTAAGTGTTTTTCTCATGTTTTTATTTGTTTTTTATTGTTGGCCAGAGTCAAGGTCTAATAATTTGAATGAGTGCTACATAAAACCTTTTTGTTTATTTATTTATTCAATTGTAACGTTTTTTTCTTTATCATTTTATTATTAGTTTATATTTTATGTCAAATTAAGGGTAAAACTTTGAATGAGGTTTAAACAAACGTTACCAATATTTAAACATGAATTATTATAGTAACGCGCAGGGTTCGATTTCTAGCAAAACTAAAATTAATTCGGTTCGTAAAATAAAATTCGATATCAATTAAACAAGCCTAAATTTGAACAGATTTAAAAAGGTTTCCGTTTAAATTTAACTCCATACATAATAAATCGATAATTTTATACTTACATAACTGGTAACACTGGTTTGGTAAACAGGATTAAATCTAGTTCACAAACCAGACTTACTTTTAATCGTTGATATAACAGTGTTATGCAATTGTAAGCACAGACTATTACATATTTTTTGACGAATTTAAGCCAGAAAATGCATCAAAATAAATTTGTAAGTCTGTTAAAAACAGCGAACAATCGCCGGATAAAAAAATCACGGAAATGTATGCAATATGCAAATAATAGAAGTAACGAGCTAAAATGGTCTATTACAAAATTAATTACGGCAATTGTATCACGCAAGAGACTAATTATCATTAACGAGATTTCTCTATCACTTAATTTTTTCAAGTGGGTTGACTATAATATAGTTTGATTTTACATAGATTCGTTGACACTTTTCTTTTCTTTCCAGAAAGATCAGAAACTAAACTTAGCGCTAATTCTAACGCCCGTACGTCAAAAATTTATTTTGACATCACAGGAGTCATACTCTCATTTCTGAGTCTTAAACTTAATTTGTCTGGAAGGTGGCTTGTTAACAATAAGGCCGTAAAATAGTGTTTCCTTTTGTTTAGGCTTAAATATTTTTATTGAAAACAAATTGTAAAAATATCTCAAGATTTGCAAAGTAACAAAAAATTAGGCAAATTTTATTGCTATTAAATTAATTAATGTCATTAAAAAAAAGCTTGTTTTATTGTGCCTATAAAAAGCATATCTTTGACAATGAACTTTTCGGAGCGAGATATTTGATATTTAACTTTCACTTTCAATTCAACGAATATAATAAAATTTTACTCAAATTACATTAATCTGTGTTAATGTTATATTATTAGTGTTGTAATTATATAAAGAACGAACCTCTCAAAACATCAGCAGGGATCAGCCGTTTGAAAGTCTTTGAATCATCGTCTTCTTTCTTCTCTTCAGCGGCAAAAGCCAAGGCGAAAACAGCCAAAACAACAAAGTACTTCATTTTAACACCTTACGAGCGCCACACGTCAAAAAAAAAAAGTAATATGTCAAATTTACGCGCGCTTTTCGTCTGACAGCTCCGTGTTGGGCGACTGAGTTGCGCGAACACCTTTCGCTGGGTTTTATTCGGAACTATCAAGAGGGGAGTGAATGTTAGCAAAATGGCGGTTTGCAGGTATTATTTTTATTTTATAACGTTTCAGGGTTGGCTTTGTTGCAAAATCCGTGCATCGTGTGAATGACACATGATTTTTTATGTTTCTAGAAGTTTATTATCTAATCGATTATATAGAAGTATATATTTTTGTAAAGAGTTGCAACATTCTCAATTTGATATGCTTCCTGCTTAATCATTTAATCTTTAAAAAGAAAGTAATTTAGAGTTCTACAAATGGATGCCGTAGAAATTGACAATACCCTGGAGTCCCTAAGCGTCACTTTCTATCAGCACGTACTTTGTATTTAATAGTTATTCATGTCACATAAATGGGAAGTAAAAAAAATCCCCGCCATAATTTATAGTTTCATATGTTTCAGAATATTAGACTTAGCGCACTCAAAACGACTCCCGTATCTCAAAAACGTATTGGATTAACGTACATAGATTTCGACTCAACTAGAGTGAGAATGACTAGGGAAGAAACTTTGTTCTCGGGAGATACGGTATATAAATCAAACTCAAAAAACTTCATTCATATAGATAACAGAAGAGATGTTAAAATTATTCTAAATTTACATTTACTACCAGTTCGCAAGTCAAGGGCGTAGAGCGGGCAAGAAGAACTGGCAAGAAACTCTCCGCCACTCATTTTAATCGCCAATTTGAGTCATACAAATTGTTTGAACTGGAGCAAATCAATCCCAAGATTAGGATCAGTTAAATAGTCGCCAAATATATAAAACGCTTTATTGATTAATTTACGTTTATTCAGAACATATTGCGCTTTCTACAGCAGCTTTTAACCCAATTATAATAAGCCAAGCCAATCGACAAACATGCTCATCTGGTGCAAACAATGATGCGGGCTCGCGCTCCAACAATATTGCAGATCTTTCTATGATTACTACTATTCTTGTAATTATTTAATATTGCTGTACGTGTAGGCGCAGCGACCATAGGCGCGTGGTGGTACCCAACTCTTCTTGTACTGAGCATTACGATTGTCTTGAGTAGCAGATGTGCCAAAAGCTGGTGCTGGACTGGCCCATGAAGTAACTGGTTCAGGCTCGATCCAGTCTTCGTGCACTGGGGTTGAGACTGGTTGACAGCAACAACAGCCTGTCCTAATGCATATATACAAATACATTTTCTTCTTCTTCAAATTTAAGAGCCGGGCTCTCGTCTATGGATTAATCGCCACTCAGTGCAGTTCTGCGTCAGTGTCTTGACCTCCTGGTATGTCACGACCTCAGCCTGTCCTTGATCTGGTCTATGTAAGCTATTCTCGGTCTTCCTCGGCCTCTTCTATGTTCCCCTCCAAGATACAAATACATTTTATTACGTAAAATTTACACAGATGAGGCTCTGGAGAGTTTTTTTTTCACTATATGTTACGAAATATACAATATCTTATAAAGAAATAATTTATTTGTTTATTTATTTTCTTATTTCCAATTTTTACAGTAACTTAATAGTAAAACATGCAGCTAGGCTATGGAATTCACTTCCCGTCCCTATTCGCTTAGCTCCTTCTTTATCTTCCTTTAAATTTCTTCTGTACAAACATTACCTGTCCACATCGTATCCCTACTTTTACCTAACTTTCGTACTAACTGACGTGAGACTGATCTTAAATTATTTATTCATGCGCACTTTTAATTTTTCAGTATCCTTTTTTGTCTTTATTACTATATGTAATATGTATTTTTGCACTTCTTGCCTATCTTATCTCATTTAATACATTTTTTTGCTCACAGTGGTTGCCTGGAAGAGATCGCTCGAAAGCGATAAGGCCGCCAGTTGCCCTCCTTTTCATATAATTATGTTCATTTTTTATATCGTAATGCAACGAAGTGTTAATACATAAATAATACAATAGAAATCTTATTAAAATAAAAATTAAACTAAAAGCAATATAAACAAAACGAGAAAACCTAAACCTTTTTATACAAATCTAAATAATGCAATTCTTGTGAATTCAGCCAGCGTGCAACTCAATATATCGTCTCATATGCAATAATATTCAGGGTGCGCAAGACACGCTAATGGCGCTTCACTGAGTAAATTTGTACGCGCTCGAGGCACTGCAACCGCTTACCACGCCAAGTATGATTATTTGGCACACGCAGCCCCAGTCTCTCCAACATTTCATTATTACATATTCTAACCTCTAAGAACCCTAAAAAAATATAATGTGATAGTAAAGTCCTTATCTCTAACTGGTTGTATCCTACTATACCCAAGACAAACAAAGTTGGATACATAACTGGGTAGAATGGATAAATCAATGTATTATCTTTGATTTCCGCAAGACATTTAAATAAAAATACAACGAAAACAACTTAAATCGACATATTTAATGATTTATAAATGTCAATGCAATGAATGCGAGTTATGTAAATAATGTAATAAACTAAAGTTTTATATACCGATGGCACTACAACCTTTTTAGGTCTGGGCTTCAGATTTCTGTATAATATGTTCAAGATCATATCTAATAGGCAAGGATCAGCCTCCTGTGCCCGACACACGCCATTGACTTTTTGGGTCTAAGGCAAGTCGGTTTCCTCACGATGTTTTCCTTCACCGTTCGAGCGAATGTTAAATGCGCAAAGTGTATGTATTATTTGTGAATAACATAAATAAATCTTAAGTATAATAATTGTTTTATTTAATTTATGTTGGATGTTGTTTTAAAAGAGTACCGAGAGTTTTTTACGCCGGCTTTTTCTTCTTTGCCGGTGAGTAGGGATGCCTACAGATTCAAATTTAATGACGTGGAATAAGTGATCTTATGTTCGATAATAAACATTTTTTATATTTACGTAAAAAATAAATATTATAAAATAAAGTCCCCCAGCCGCGTGTCTGTATGACCGTGATAAACTCAAAAACTGCCGAACGTATTTGTAGGGCTTTGCATCTATAGTATGATTCCTGCAAAAGGTTTAAACATATAATTCACTATGTTTTTATGTAAATTAACAGAAATATAACGGTTCTGTGAAGCGATCCAAACGTTGTCAAACACGAAATCCACGCGGACGAGGCCAGCAGAACTAATAAAAGTTACTTAACTTTTTTATTATTTGTGTGGTCTTTAATTTATTCAATTCGAGAGTTAAAGCTTACTTGTCACTACAATTAATAACCCAAGACATCAATTAACATAGTAGTGTTATATATATTATCTATGACATGACAAATTGCGCGCGAATGTACTTTCACGAAAGCGTCAGCATAGATAAGAATTGTAATTTTCAGTGGTATACTGTTTATGGCCAAGTGTGGACTGTTCTTTTTTATTGTTGATTTGGTGAAGTTTGGTTTCTATCTATGATACATAAGTGGATTTGTAACGATTTTATGAACTAATTTTATTACATCTCTGTCTCAGGAACTCACTTTGGTTACCTCTTTATATCACAGCGTATTTAACAGAAAGAAATGAATTACTTAGTACTTTTTTTGTAGCTATAAATAAAATATAATCAAATTTTGTTTTTTATAAGCAAGGTATCATTTATAAAGACTAAATGGACTTGCGAGTCTTCTGTGTGAGTGTATACGGTGGTTTCACTTAACAAAGTCAAAGTCAAAATCATTTATTCATATAGGTACCACAATGTACATAGGTACAATAAGTGTAGACTTATGAACGTCAAAAAAAAATATATCTAAATATATGAAATGCCTTTGATTTTACATTTACTGCCATTTCTCAAATCAAGGGCGTAGAACGAAAAAGAGAAGAACTGGCAATAAACTCTCCGCCACTCTTTTTAATCGCCAAGTTTTTTGTTTTACACAACGTATGTGAGCTGCAACCATTACACCATGTTCCACATTATATCTTAAGTAATAATAATAAAATAAATTAAAAACAAAGATTTGTCTACCTGTTGTATAAAAGATTAAAAATACATCACCGTCGGAAAAAAACAGCCAAACTATTTAACATTAAAAAACGGTTCATATTCCTAATGTGATTTATTTGAATAAAATTATAATAATATTAACTTGCTGACCGTACTGCGTATAATAAAGTCCTTTCTCTTAGTACGTCATTGATTCACAGATAAGCTTTCATAACTGATGCTTAAATATACGCTTAATATGTATTTATAAAAAAACTAATTTTATCGTTTCTATATGAAAATTTATTAAAGTAATTATTTTTAAGTTTGTTATGAGTACATTACACCATCCTTGTGAATAAAATAAAAAAATTAATCAGTGCTGCTACCTTTTTTGGCCTGGGCCTCAGATTACTGAATCTGTTTCATAATCATTAGTGTGGCCTAGTGGCTTCAGCGTGCGACTCTCATCCCAGAGGTCGTGAAAGTTCACATAAAAATTTGTGCAGTAGTTTTTGAGTTTATGGCTAACAGGAAAACGGAGAGACGGCCGAAGACTTAGTTTCTAATATGTAATAAAGCACTTGAAACACTTAAAATATAAAATAAATAATTACTTATCCTATACATAACGACATGTATAAAAGTAAGAATCTAATGACCAAATGAACTTAAATCCAATAATAATTTGTTTAATATAACTTTATATATCATAAACTTTATCTGACTAAGTAATAATTTTTTTCTAGATAACAAATTACAGAAATTTTGTCTGGTACTCCAAGGAATATCAATTTTCTAGTTAATTTGCAAGCTGCAGATCGAGCCAGCCATTTTGATAATGTCATCCGGCCACCTTGTGAGCGGTCTTCTTCTGGATCATTTCCCAATAGGGCCTCCCCACCACCTACCCCAACTGTTGGATGTAAGTACATTAAATTATATAATAAGATCCCTTTCTCTTAAACTTTACAATGTCAATGATGCTCTACAAGCTTTCAACTCTTGCGCAATGAATCCTTTCAATTTGAAATTGGTACTATCAGCAAAATCATCCTTCAATAACTTATATTCTTTATGTTTCTCGAGACCAGGTGCGTCATATGGTCACGCAAAGTATTATAGGGATTACCCTCAATAATTACATTAAAAGGGTATAAAAAAGAAGTTCCTTAGAACTTTATATAAAAAAAGTAACTAATCTCCTTATTTAGACGCTTTATTAAATATATTTCATATTTACAATCAAGTATTATACTACAGTATATATTATATATATTAAAGTATTTACAATTTTTTTAACCTACAAAGTTATAATAAAAATAATTAAAAAGAAAATCAAAACAAATTTAAAAAGTTTGGTCCCAGTGGCAGTGCTGGCAGCATTTCCTCGCGATACGTATTCGTTGACCCAGGAAATATACCAGCTCTAGGGTCACCGGTCAGCCTAGGCACCAACTAAATCTTTATAAGCGCCTCAGCACTTAAACGCCTCGGCCCAGGATCTCCACTCCAAATGCGACAAAACAAGCTGGGAGAATTTGTGCCGTATTTCTCGCTTACTAAAAAATTACACTTTAATACTTTTCTCGAGGATTTTCGGCTGCCGAGCAAGACCTTCATATAATAGTGATCTTCTGGAAGCAGTATGGGGCTTACTTGCTGGGAGAGATATGAAACTGTACGTTGTATATTTTAAAAATGTTTTCTGGTAATTTTATAAAAAATCCATTTAATGTATTAATTGAAATTTGTCCATACATAAACTGTGATTAAAAATGTTTTCTCGATTCTGAAAAATCACTCGATTTTAATAGTGTTATAATCGAAAAATTTAAAATAGCGTGTGTGTGACAGTTTCCCCCTTGTAGATATTGATAATATGCTTTAATTTGGGACTTTTCTTGAATTTATTAATAATTAATAAGCATTCAAATGTATAATTTTAATGTAGATTTATTGAAATTTGTCAAAGCTGTAAACAAATAGTTTTATTTACAATCTGAATGTGTTAGGTTAACCTACCTTTCGTCTAAAAATAATAATCAATGTAAAATTCATTTAATCAATTAGATTTAAGATTTTTAAATTTGTTTTTAATTATTTTATGCTAAGTCGGTATTACATGCACCTTAAGAAAGAGTATTAAAATAATGTATATTTGAATTGTTAATTTTATGTTTTCCTTAATATGTGAACGTATTTTCGCATAAATATTAAAAATGGTACCGCGACCACCACTTTGTGGTACTAGCTAGCCCACTGCAAGTGTTTCATGTTGGTGAAGCTCCTAATACGAGCTAATAAAAAAATTCAAAGTGAAGAGCGTACCAACTCTTGGCACAAACCAGCCGGCAACGGGTTCTGCGATCCGGCATTGTGACAGTTTAGCCTACTTATAACTCGGCTAACATCCAGTTGAGCATCTGTCCATTTTGCCTCTTTTGCCCCTTCTGTGGTTATAGTCCGTAAAGATTGTTGAATCCAGCGTTGTACTTGCCATTTCTCAATGCGGTGTGTTAAAAGTTACATTGTACCAAGCAAGTGCTGCAATAGCTACATGCCAAACTGACCGTATTAATATTTGTAGAAATTCACTCATTGAAAACGTATTTAGTTTTTAAAAAAAAAAAAAAAGGGGGGAAAAAAAAAAAGAAAGAAATTTTTAACCAAAAAAAAAAAAAAAAATTTTTATAATCAGTGGGAATCTATATAATAAAATAAAAAGTAAAAAAATTTTGCTATAAAAAAATACGTACTGAAATTTTCCATCAGGCATCAACGTTAACGACGTCGTAATACCAAATAAAAGGTCATAATAACAGCAAGCCCTTGTTTACATTCTCGTGTACCCTTGGCTTAGCATTGATACATTTAACGCAATGAACAAAAAACTTCATTGTCGAAATAAAGTGCAAACATCCTTCCAGCATGACCTAGAAAATTTAACATTCTATGTCGTTAGTTCAATTAGATATTTTTATTTATTACCTGTAATATCATCATCATCATATCATCATAATGTTTAGATAATAAAGTATTTAGAATATTCTTAACCTTAGTAATAATAATTAAAAATGGATTAATAGAAAACTTTTAACGCTGGCATTTCCTCGCTGTTATCCGATACTTATTCGTTGAGCGAAGCACCAGCTCTGGGGTCACCGGTACTATCTACCAGGTTAATTAAATTTTTAAATAGCGCCTGTGCACTTGAACTCCAAGGCCAAAGAGTCTACTCCAAAGCGTGCTGAATGACTATTATTTGTTGTATTAAGTAACATATCCAACTGCAAATCTGTAGTAAGTGTAATGTAAGGATGAAAGATGCAATGTCGGTAGTCCTAAATTAGGCAGCGGTTGGAACAACCTCGTGCCGCATCAGATATCCGTCCCATGATATCCAACTGCAGATTATGAGTATTCATCATTCTTATCATTCCCAAGTGGGGAGCAAGTAAAAAATACGAAATTTTGCGATAAATCTAAGGAAAATTGGAATGGTCGATCAAACAACCCACGTACTCCTGGAATGCGTGGCTGTAGCTTCCCAACAAAGAGAAATTCTCGGAGCAGTGAGATCCCTCCGTGAAGTCTGCGAACTGCCCAAGACTTTTGAGCTTCTGGAAGGAGCTAGGCTGGCTTGATAGCTGCTACTCTTAATGATTTATCTCGCTCTTACAACTTAATTACTAATATTGATATATTTTAATGAGGTTTAAGTTTCTATTTAGTTTTTGTTTTTTTTTGTGGTTACTTGTTTAATGTTTTCCCTTGCTAGCTTGTTTATGTTCTAATATAATTGATGTGTATGTACTATGTGTGTAAAATTTGTGATGTCATATTTTCTTATATAATGCACAACTGACCAAATAAGCGACTAAGTGCGGAAATTGAGTCCATACTTCAACTACCAGCTATCAAACATATTTTGGAAAAAGTATTCGTTGAATGAATATATGAGTAGATTGTATACATCTGAATTCGTGACTAAATTAAGCATTTGAGGTCACGGGAAGCTGCGAGATTTTAATGATAAAATACATTGTTTAGAGTTCAGCGAATGTCATTGTTATTATTCTTTTGTGATTTTAATTTGGTAATTGTAAATGTGATATTCGCATGGAAGAGGGATGTGTCGGATCATTTGCTTAAATAAATTTGTCTATGTCTTTTTACAAAAATTTTATACATAAAAAAATCAGTAACATTGTAATTATTATATTTATAAAATAGTACTAAACAATACAATAGATATAAAGTGTAAACAATTTTTAAAAAAAGGGGTCCGTGTACTTATGTACGCGCGTAAGAAGTTATACTTCTTTGGCAATATTAAAAATAGTTTGGCTTTGTTCCACCTCCAGTTTTTGATGTTTCACAGCGATAAGATGAAAACTCTTTTTTTGTATTCAATTTAGTGCAGTTACACTGATTCATCAATTGTTTTTTGTCTCTTTTCCTTATAAATATAAGATAGATAATATATATAATATAGCTAGATAAAATCAGAAAAATTACATGTTTTGATTAAACAATGTGGTTAATTTTTTAATCAAAACATTACTCGATAATAATAATAATACATACGGATAGTTAACCTCAATTGTATTGAAGCACTTAGGAAGGTTGATGAGCACAGTTTTTTCACAAATATTAATTAGTATTGGTTTAAATATTCAATTTAAATCACTTCTGATTATAATTCAAAAAGCATCGCTAAATTTCTTTGAAAAAATAATTAAAACTCCTTTATTTGTTTAAAAGGTAAATGACAAATGTCATTATGGTCATTCAAAATTGTTGGCATACGAACTTCACGCATATTCTATTTCTTTTTACTTGTAGATTGTCTTATTCCTATCTCGCTCGCGCACGCTATAATCACACTCCTAATTTTGTGTCACGGGTGCGCGCATTGTAAAATTTCACTCTCATAAATTTTTCATAAAGCGCCTAAAGAAGTATAACTTCAATAAAGTTGTGTACACTTGCCCGACCTAAAACATGATGCATGTCAAGCATAGAAGGCTGATAACTAGGGGATACAAAATGGGTTTGTAACACCACTAGAGAAACATGTAATAAGTACCAATTTAACTTAAATCTGTAAATTTTAATTATAGGTTAAATTTGTAAAGAATTGCGGTCTGAGAGTTCTACCTTGTTGAACCCTAATATTAATTCATCATGTTAATTTGGTCATGTACCCACGGTATAACAATGTTAACAAACGGTGCTTTATTGCTAACTTTTATCCGCAATGTCATTCGTTTGGTTTTACCAAAGACTAAACTTATTACAGACAATAGTAGGGCTTCATTTTTTCTTTATTTGTTGCCATGATTTTTAATTGACTTTTACTATAAGATATTTTATATATAAGAATAATGGAGACTAAGACATTGATTGGAGCTCTGATGAGGAGCATGATGGTAGCAGAAGCTTACAAATATTTTGTAAGCTACTAATATTTCTGCAATTAAATTGATTAAATACGACGCATAGTTAAACAACTATCACGGACATTTAACTACATCTAATGATTAATTAACAAATATAAATGAGATACAATTTCAGCTTCCTGAATTCTTAACCATAATTTAAACATTTGTTTCGTAATTACACGTTAATTTGTTTGAATGATTAATTAACGAAAAAGTTACTTCTAATTTTGAGTTAAGTTAAGAGAACCATTACAATGCTGCATCTGAGTGACGTCATAAAACGCTTCATTTAATTCCACAAAATACTAACACATATACAACACAAGACTTTCACGTTCTATTTATTTATATTGTAAAAACCTCCTACAAAAGAAATTCCAGAATTTACTCTATTGCTGGCTCCAACCATCTTTCCCCCGTCATAGCAATGTCTCTCAATCCTGTGCTTCGTGGCCATTTCATCAGTCTTTGTGCATACCTTTTTTTAGAACAAGGGGCATGAGGCTCACCTGATGTTATGTGAAACCGCCGCCAATGGACACTCTTAATGCCTAAGGACTGGCGAGTGCGTTGCCAACCTTTTAAGAATTGGTACGCTATGTTCTTGAAGGACCTGAGCCGAATTGGTTCGGAAATACTTCAGTGGGCAGCTGGTTCCACATAGTGGTGGTTCGACTCAGTCGTGGATGTTCTTCGAAATTTAATTTTCTTCCCTGAACTATATTTATTTTCATACAGGATGCTCCAACGTAATAGGAAACATAAATATTGTATAATGATAGCATCATTAATGATTGAGCACACTTCAGGGTGGATGGACATTTGGCACGCGAAAAAGTGTTTAATTCAGCGAAATTAAGAACTGTCACGTAAGAAAAGCAAATTGGTTTGATTTTTAAATAAAATGCTATTTCTAGCTTTAAAAATATTGTTTTTAAATAATATAGTTATTTTTTTTTATTTCCAACACACAAATGCACAAAAAAGAAGAACAATAAAAACAATAACTAACCTTAAAATATAATAAATAAAATATATTATTAAAAGGAGTCCCTTTAGGCAAGGTTCCGAAGATACTGGCAGCGTTACCCCTTTGAATCGCTAGACTAATTCTTTGTCCGAGGTAGCTGTCAGCTCTAATTTTGCTACTAAGTTATAAATAACACATAACTTTAAATTGGGCCTTGTGGTAGTGTAGCTTGGATACTGGCTGCATATTTTAAAATAAGTTTGCTTTGTAATATATATCAGTAAGAAATAACTTACGGTTGACGTAAATTATACCGACTTAAAAAAAAATGAAGGATGATTTTATTATTATCAATACGGCGTGTATTTAATGTTTGTGTATTTAATATACACAAAAAAATGCACGCCGTAAAACGTAAATATACTTTATTTTTGAAGTGAAACTTCTTTAGGCGCATGAGGGTAAAATTTTTACGGAACGTCACGAACTTGTGCAGCGTTTTTGTCGAAAGGGAGAGAGCTATTGAGCCCGATTGAGATACAGTGAGATGGGGGAATTACCTTATAGAATTTTTAAAAATAAATTTCGTCAAGAGAATTTATGAAATATTAGTATTTTATATTTTATGCAAAATAATTTATTGAAATCTCAAATGACGAATTGTAAATTAAAATGCCACGTGTTTTTATTATCGAAGAAATATTTGTATTAATTTTCGACACTTAATATTTTTTAAATATGTCTAATAATCTAATAATATAAGAAAAATAATAGGCGAGAAATAGTCTCGCCCATTATTTTTCTTATAAAAAAGTAACTTAACCGAAAATTTACAGAGCAAACTATAATCCATCTTTTAAAACTTAAAAATATCTGATAACAACTAAAACTGTTTTTTGACAACATTTCTCGGTGCACAGACAAGAAACGTTGTATATCTCTGTACGCAGTGGATCGGAAA